AAAAAAAAAATCACTGATTTCTAGAGTTCTCCATGTGCTGGAAACCTGACGCTGTGTTGGTATGTAACTCAGTCGCCCTACCTTTGAATCTTCTACAGATCAAGGGAAGTTACCCCAAACCAGCACACAGAATGCCATATTCTGAAGTTTGCTTCTTGAAATCTTTCAGCGGCAGTCTTATTGGAATCTAAAGGAACTGTATGTAGTTTAATAAGATCCCCACTAGACTCCATGAGGGCGAGAAGAAAGTGTCTTCTTTGGGGGCATCGCTTCAGTGCCTATCACAATGCCTGCACATGGCAGACATCCAATTTTGTAAGATGAATATGAATTGAATCTATAGTACTACACAGATGTTTTCATTGAGTTGAAGAACCTAATTTAGGCTAAGGAACTAAAACTTGAGTGACTAAGAAAGTAACAGGCGAGGGAAACTCAACGAACTGCCTACGTTATTAACTAAAGTGCCTAAATTGGTTACCTGAATCCAACATTGGAGTGCAGAGCGACATTCCAGTCTTCACAGTGCAGGCGTTGTGTATTCATGGGATTATGAAAGACCAAAAGTAAAGAGTTGTCTTGAGTATGGTAATAAGAATCAACACACCTATATTGCTGATGGGCTTCTTGAAGAACCTGAAAATCAAAATAATTGCATTGTTGTGTCTTTTTTTTCCCAACAAGGGTTTCCTGCTAGGGCATTCCTCGGCCCCCTTCTCCTCCTCCCCTCGTCTCCATGTTGTTGGTCAAGTTGGGATTCCCAGAGGATTCTTTCCCAACTGCTAGAGGGTAGGAGCGCGAATGGTAGATATTTTGTGGGGCATTTCAGAAACTCTTATGGAAAAAAATACTAGGTTTCAGGTATAGAGGCATTTGCTATAAGTATTCTTCATTAAGGCGGGTAGATATTAATTAAGTCCAGAAATTATTTATCTGGCATTTTCCATGTCTTTGTATAGATCATGTCATTTTATCATCATTAAAAACCCCAGATAAATATATATTCTGTGAACGAAGTTGACCACCCCCCCATTCCCCGATTTATATGCTGAAGCCTTAACCCCCAGTGTTATGGTATTTGAAGATGGGACTTTGGGGAGGTAATTAGGTTTAGATGAAGTCATAAGAGTGGGGCCCTCATGATGAGACTTGTGCCCTTATAAGAAGAGGCACCAGAAAGGTTGTGTGCAGTCTCTCTCCCATGTGAGGACACAGTGCAAAGGTACCATCTGCAAGCCAGAAAGAGAGCCCTCACCAGAACCCAACCATGATTGCACTTGCATCTTGGACTTTCAGCATCCAGAACTAGGAGAAAATAAACTTCTGTTGCTTAAGCCACTCAGTCTGTGCTGTCTTCTTATGGCAGACTAAAATAATAGGTAGTACTATTTTTCCCACTTCAAAATATTAGAATTCTCATCTTTCAGCATAAATTGAAGCTGAGAGAGGATAAGAGATTTGTCTAAGGACACAGAGTTCATAACTTCTGGTGCCAGGGCACATACCAGTCTTTCAGCTCTAAATTTTACCATTCATGCTCCACAGGCTACTCTCTACTATACCATGGTGTATTACAGTGAAATGAGGTAAGTGGTCTTTCTAACACATACTGTTTCTACCTGCCCTCAACTCTGGCCTTTCCTAAAACATACCACCCTCAGCAAGCACTGCAATGGCAGCCACCAACAGAAGGGCAGAAGTGGGCAGCAGTTTATCCTGTTTCTTCTTCACTGCCAATCAACAATAAGAAAATTGTCCATAGGAAAATAAATTAGACAGCTGTGGGATTTTGTTTTTGTTTTTGTCTTCAGCATCAATCTGATGTAGGCAGCTGTTGGTTCCTACCATTTAGATGATCTGAAGGCATGGAATTGCATATTATGTTAGGAAAGGGTTGTTTTACTGTTGCTTTCAATTCTACACTGGCTGAATAACCAAAATAATACATTTATGTCCATAATCTAATCCTCTGTGTGAGTCTCTATGTAGTGGCACTTAAACTTTTACATCTGTTCCCTGAGAATCAATACGAGAAACATACATGTGGTGAATACCTTTGCATTAAAACCCAAATGATGTGTAGGTACTATCCATTACTTTCTGACTTTCATTGAAAGCAAATTCCTCACAGGCTATAAAACTGGATAACAAATGTGTTTACTTATGATGGATATGTATCCTTCCTTCTGTTAGGTAGTAGGAGCTCTGCAATCTTTGTGTTTTCATATTTGCTTTGACTGCTAGGAAATACAGAAGTAAGTTTGTCAGAGCTATAATTGCTCTCAATGTTTGAAAAGTTTTCATATCATATCTTCTTTTACTAATTAGCTTTTCCCCTTAATTCTGTATTAATATTGTTGGTCACATTAATTGGTTAATTAATTATTTCATTAAAAACGAGTACTGTTATGTGCCAAACACAGTGTAAGTACTGGGTAAACACATATCATATCTTCTTTTACTAATTAGCTTTTCCCCTTAATTCTGTATTAATATTGTTGGTCACATTAATTGGTTAATGAATTATTTCATTAAAAACGAGTACTGTTATGTGCCAAACACAGTGTAAGTACTGGGTAAACAAAAATGGACAAAATAGATAAGACCTTCCTCTTAAACATAATTGAGATTTTCATAGATCATTCTGGAACTCAGAGAGGTGTGTCTAAAAAGATGAAATTGATGGGATATATGATATGGAGAGAATGATAGGAGTTGGAGTAAGGCAAGAATGGAAGCAGGTGATGATCAGGAGGATGTTGCAGTAGAACAAAAGGATGGGAGTTAGATGGAAGTAGAGCAGTGGAGATGGAGAAGAGCTTGAAGATATACATCGGAGGACTCCTCAAAAATTGGTGATGGGTCAGATATTGAGGACAAAATACAGGATGATGCAAGCCTTTTTGCTTGAGCAATCGAATGATGGTGACATTTTCTGAGCTAAATGAGGGAAGAAGTATGCGTAGGTGTGAAAATTATGAGCTTTATGTGCGACACTAAATTTGAGATGCCTATCAGAAATTCAGGTGGAATTTGGAGTTAGGTAAACTAATGTGCATCTTGAGAGAGAAGTAATTTGGAAGATTAAAATGTAGGTGTTGTCAACATTGGGTACTGTATAATAGATGAGATCATCAAAAGAGAGGGTTTACAAAGGAGAGACGGTGATCCATGGCTTCCTTAAGGCTCCAGGGCCTTGAGGTACTCTGACATTTGCATGTTGAGTGGAAGAGGAGAAATCAACAGAATCCCAAATAAAGCACGGAGGAAGAATATATTATAGCTTTTCGGAAACCAAGGGTGGAAAGTGTTTCATGGGGAAGTGATCAGCTCTGTGATGCTGTTAAAAGGTCAAAGAAGATGAAGAAAGGTAAGCGTTCATTAAATCTGGCAAGACAGAGATTATTGGGACCTTGGAAAGAGCAGCTTCGTGGACGGGTGAGGACAGAGCCAAATTGAAGTAAAATACAGTCAGAAATAAACTTCCAGTTAAAGAGGAAGATTGGACACATGCACTTCCTAACATCTCAGTAAAGGAACAGTAAAATTATTTATTTATTTATTTTTTAGTATCACAAAATTGAAGGCTGCAGGAGAGGAAACAAAGGCAGCAAAATTTTAGAAGCTGGGAAGCAGAAGAATGAGTGGTCACTGAATTAGCAGATTTTTTAGTACCACAAAATTGAAGGCTGCAGGAGAGGAGACAAAGGCAGCAAAATTTTAGAAGCTGGGAAGCAGAAGAATGAGTGGTCACTGAATTAGCAGACTACAGAAAGCCAAATCCTAAGATTAGTGTGCAGAAATGTAGAAAGTCTCAGGAAATGGTGGTACTAGGTACCTCTGAAAGTGGGGTGAAAGTGGCACCAAACTAGGAAGATTAGTTTAAAGTTTTTTTAAAGAAGCAGTTAGGCCTCCCAGAGTCCTTGACAGTTCTGAGCACCCCGGCTGCTACCTATCTCCCATTCCAGCAGAAGGGAGGATGTTATCTACAGAAGGCGAACCAGAGGTTCTAAGAACAGGGGACCCTAGACATTGCTGAGAGAGAAGTACTTTCCAGAAAAAAAGGAACCGTGTAAAGCAAAACGGACAAATGGGATTATATCAATTAGGACAGCCATTATGGAAAACAGTATGGAGATTCCTCAAAAAACTAAAAATAGAACCACCATATGATCTAGCAATCTCCTTGCTGTGTATTTATCCAAAGTAAAGGAAATTAGCATACTGAAGAGATATCTGCACCCTCATGTTTACTGCAGCACTATTCACAATAGCCAAGCTATGAAATCAACCTAAGTGTCCATTGACAAGTGAATGATAAAGAAAAGGGGTATATATACACAAAGGAATAGTATTTAGCCATAAAGAATAAAATTCTGTCATTTGTGACAATGTGGATAAAACTGGAGGACATTATGTTAATTGAAATAAACCTGGCACAGAAAGAACAACACCATGCGTTCTCACTCATATGTAGGAGCTAAAAAATATTGAGTTTATAGAAGTAGAGAGTAGAATTGTGGTTACTTGAGGCTGGGAAGGGATAGCGATCGGAAGAGGTTGGTTAACAAATACAAAATTACAACTAGATAGGAAAAAAAAGTCCTATTGGTCTACAGTAGTGCTAGATATTTATAATTAACTATAATTTATTGCATGTTTTCCAATGGCTAGAAGACCTGAGCTTAAAATCTCTCATGACAGAAAAATGATAAATTTTTGTGATAATGGATGGGTTAATTACCCTGATTTGATCATCACACATTGTATGTGTGTATCTAAATATGAGTATAACTCTGTACCCCGTTAATATGTACAATTAATATGTGTCAATTAAAAATAATTAAAAATTTTTTCAAAAGAAACGAAGACAAAGATTATTTGGCATAGTGGAAAAACAAAAGGAACTGTGTAAAAGTCTAAATCAGCACTGTCCAATAGACCTATAAAGTGACTCACAAACGTGAGCCACCTGTGTAATTCTAAATTTTATAGTAACCACATTTTAAAAAGTAAAGAGAAACAGGTAAAATTAATGTTATTGACATAATTTATTTAACTTACATTTTAAAAAATCATCATTTCAATATGTAATAAAGAAAAATTATTAATGAGATATATTACTTTTTTCATACTAATCTTTGAAATCCAGCATATATAGCACTTATATAGCTACATATAGTATGTTGGATACTTATAGCATATTTCAATTTGGACTAGTATGTTGGATACTTATAGCATATTTCAATTTGGACTAGTTACATTTCAAGTACAGTTGGCCCTTTGTATGCAAGGGTTCCACATTCATCCACCGATTCAATCGACTACATATTCAATCATTTGAAGATCAAAAATATTTGGGAAAAAAACAATAAGAATAACAATATAATAATGTGAAGTAACACAAACAAAATAAACAATACAGAATAACAACTATTTACATAGCATTTATATTGTATTAGGTATTATAAGTAATCTAGAGGTGATTTAAAGTGTATGGGAGAACATGTGTAGGTTATATGCAAATACTGCCCAATTTTATATAAGGAAATTGAGTATCTGTGGATTTTGGTATCTGCAGAAGTCATAGATACTGAGGGATATCTCTACTTTGAAGCTACAAGTGACTAATGGCTACCATACTGGATAATGCAGGTCTAGTTACTGAATGAAAGGAGATTAATCTTCCCTCAGCACTAATCTCCCAAAATCCTGACAGGCAGATTTATGCCTTTCAGACAGAAAATTAGATTTTTTTTTT